ACCGTTGTCAGTCTGATTGGAGTTAAGCCCATAATTACCACCCAGCTGAGCTTCTGAAGAGCTCCGACGCCTTATGCGTTCATATCCCCTGCAAGTACTATGATATCTGAACCAGTAGCACTGCGTAGTAGCGCGTTCAGTTCCCGACAGCATGTGTCCTTGGCAGCCTCAGAACTGTAGTCGGTGGGAGCATAAGCGGAAATCACAAACAGCGTTTTGTACTACTTCCTGAATAAACCTTAGCTGATGTCAAACGAGCTGCACATAAACGGCTGTTCACCAACATCCAATCAACCAACGATTGCTCAGCCTTGGAGCTTAGAATGATACGTACACCAACTTGACCCGTAAGTGCTGCACCGATGTCTCCGGATGCGTGCAACCAATAACGAGAGGATAAGCTGGGTGCAGTTAATTCAACAGCCCCATTAGGGTCATTGATCCTAGTTTCTGACACACAACACACACCAATACTCGGTGTGTCCAAAGCGCGTGCGAGTGTCTCCTGTTGACTCTACATGTCTTAGAGTGCGAACATTGAACGCCGCCATGGAAACTGGACAGCATGGCCTTATGAGGTCATGATTGTATGTGGGCTGAGATACTGCCAGGACCCCCAGACCTAGACAGGATAATTTGGGTCCTCAACCGAAACCTTCGGCTCAAAAGCTTATCCGCAGGGCAGTGAGGAGACGGCAATGATTTCGTTTTACAGAAATGGAAGCCTTCTCATTTCAAACCCCCAACCTGGAGAACCAGGATATTTAGTTTGTCTGATCTTTCCTGGTATTAGTAGCTCAAGAGGCCCGGAAGCACCACGCAGTATAGCTCAATAGGTCAATGAGGCACGCAAACCGTTCGCACCATGTTAAAGTCCAGTCACGTTTGACGGTGTCAGTCATGATTGCGGTTGGTAAAGCGAAGGCAGCCTCGGATCGTCTCAAATTTTCCACGTTGTATATCTTTACTGCAAGCTGTGCACCCGACTTGTGGTATCTTAATTGTGGAAGGATCTCTTGGGCATCGATCAGTTTGTTTGATACACAGAAATCGGTTGCCATGTGAAATGGGTTTCAGTTTGTCTGTAACTCTAGAGCGACTGATAACCAGTTTTCGATTTGATCGGGAATTTTGGTTTCTGGCAAGAACTCGCGTGATGGCGAAAGTCAGCGCTACTGGATACCGCCGAGTGCTGTTCTAGCTCATCCAGAACATCGGTCTGAGGTCATCAGTTAGTTGACAATAGCTGAGAAAAATGTACAGTTTATCCATTCCCAGTGTCGTCGACTAGCCCGTTGGGCGGAACATTCTGAAGAGCAGTCCAGCAGGCCTACTGCGACACTGTCGTTTGCTGAATCATGGACTGACGTGGGAAGTAGATGTCACTCCTCACTCCGAAGGAGATTCGACATGAGGTTCTCATGATGAAACGAAACAAGACTCCTGAACCCAACAACTTTTTTTATTTTTCTGAAAGATAGAGGAGACTGTTTGTTGTCTGCACGCTTCTCTACCTAACACGATTTTGAACTCTGATAGGTCCCTTTAGGATTATCAGCCGTCGTGCACATCTTCAAGGAGTCTCCGTGTATTCTGTGCTAAAATTATCGACGCATTTGCCGTGTTTCCATTGCCTCCAAACTTCTTACGGGTATCATTCTGCGACGACTTACTGGTCCCCGTGGGAGCCATATATTTGCTCTTCGCCTAGTTTCCTAGCAGAGGTACACAAACAGACGACTGAATGCGGTGATTTTTGCTAGATTTAAAACTGGTCTTCGCCTCTACTGACCGCGCCAGCTTGTGTGCCGGCTCACTTCACTTCCATTATGCGATCTCTGCTGTGGTTCCCTTGTCCGTGTAAAGGATCTACGTGAAATTGTCTCCTGAGTTCCCCCAGCGTTATCCTATATCTTCCTTCCTCAATTTTGTGATCGAAATAATTGTGAGTGATTCGTTCTTTCAGATCCTACCGACCGACTAGCCAAGAGTATGTGGATGACATTGCCATCCTCGGGTCCGACTAAGTGACTGTGCAAACCCTACTTTATGGACTAACACGTAGCATTACACGCTTCCGCATGTGTTTTGCACCTTCAAAGTGCAGAGTACTGTTGCTGCTATGGACCGACACCGGTTCTAGCCATTACCGAACGGCCACTAAAAGTGGTGGATCGGTTTACTAGCTAATTGTGTCACCTCGGGTGATTGCATCATTGTGGAGGTTACTTCCCTTATCGGCATTGGCTCATGTGGGGCTTTTCAGAGACTCAACTATCTATGGAGACGACGGGATATTAGCCTATCATTGCAAATTAGTGTGTATATCACCGCGGTAAGACCGGTGTTACTGTATAAGTCAGAGACCTGACAAGTTCGCGATGAAGACATTAAACGCCCGGCAGTGTTTGACCACCGGTTCTTGCGGAGTATTGCTCACGTCTAGTGGGAACACAGGGGAGCAATATTGAGGTCCGTCTTCTGATTCCTTAATCGTGTGTTGTATCTTAATCGTTCACATTGGTCAGGCTATTTCCTCCGTATTCTCGTTGACCAGCTTCCCCAGCGTGCGTTATGCGCCTTGTTTGCACCGTCGGTTGGAACTGCGAGCTGGCCAGTCCGAGACGTGGCATAGAGGAATGAAGAGATTGACTAATAGATGAGTTGTTGCCTGCCATCTTCGTACATGTGGGCCTCTGGATAATCCTCAACCATGATAGGAAACCGTAACGCAGTCATTGGCGTTCCAGCATTCGGTTTTTTGTAGCTGGTTGTTAATTTTCGTTCCATTCTGATTAGTTTAACGCTCATCTTTCTTGCTCTTAGTTTCCTTACATTCTGTTAGCATTCACTATCCTGCCATTGGGAATCGTGGCAACTGGACCCACCGCACTCGGTGCTCGGAACAAAGTTGTTATAAGTGAACTGAACTGCACACTTAGCACATTGAACTGACGTTTGTCGTTCCATTGTCTCAAAGCATAATTGTCGCTCTATTGGTGACCATTGAGTGTATGCCGCCTTTTGTCCACTACATTTTCTCTGTTCGATGTTACATACCGTAAATTGTTTGATGAATTGCCGGGCGGTCTGCGACAGCTCTTGTCTCCTTTCCTACGATAACGAAACTAGGTAGTTATTTGTCACCGCTTATACATATGTTATTATGTTGCTTTCTTCTGTCACTCGCTCTCAATCTAATGCATAATGTGATTTAGACATTATGTTACTTTTTTAGCTTTCGTGATCTGTAATGTTTAATCTCTTTACCCTTTTGTATTGCGGCACATTAGCAGATGTGTTTCTCACTCTCGACTAACGTGCATTAATGATAATGACGAATTTTTTGTTTTTTTCAGAGGGGGTTATAGTGCTGAACGTGATCGCGGCCGCGATAGCGATCGGTACGATCGTGGTAAGTTTCATCTTGTCTTCTGTGCATTTATTCAGTAGTTTGTACACCCTTCGCTGATACTGTGTCACCCTCTTCCTTAGGTCGTGATCGCGATTCCTACGGACATTCGACCGACCGATTCGGTAGTTCTGGCGGTCGTTTTGGTGGACCAGGCCGCGGTGCTTTTCCTCCTGGGATGAATTATGGTGGCTATGGAGGACCCAGAGGTGGTGGAATGGTAGCCCGTGGTGGACCCGTTCCACCCATGGGTCCAGGAGCTGGTCGTGGATACGGTGGTCCTGCTTTCCATGGCGGTGGTGGTCCTCCGGTTGACTACAGAGGAACTACAGATGGCAGACCACCCAGGGGTGGACGAGGTGGGTTTCGTGGGGGGCCTAGCGCTGCATATGGTGGCCCCGTTGACTCATCATCAATGTACGGTGCACCCCACAGTCAGTTTGACGTTCCAACAGGAAAAAATGCTCCTACGGATCCGTATGGAGCTGCTGGCGGTGGTTCCTTTTCTTCGATTGTTGACAGCAAACCTCCGGAAAGTGAGTTCATGTAGTATTTCGTGCTCTTTTCAGTCATTTCCGATCGCACGCCTCTTTCTGCGAAGCTGTTCTTAGCCTTTCTCCTCTGCCTTAAAATTTATCAAACTAGTTCCCTTTTTAATTCGAAATTCATCCAGTCACCTTCTGAAAACTTCTACTATCAACCGCGTTTTGTGTTTCTAGCGTCAGTCTATTCAAGTCTGGCTTCGTTGACTTTTCTCACTATTGTTTTCATTGGTTTCTTGCGTCCACAGGTACGGGTGGCTATCGCGGTGCATATGGACCTCCGAGTCGTGGGCAGTACGGCGGCTCTTCTGATTCCACCGGATACGGTGGCCAAGCAATGGGGCGAGGTGCTAACATCGCCTCTGGTCGTGGTGGCCGTGGGGCTGGTCCAGGAGATCGCGATGGACCCGCTATTGCTCGAGGCGGACACGTACCTCGAGGAGCCTCAGCTGTTCGTGGTGGCTATTCCGCCAATACTCATGGTGGATATCAAGGGGACGCAGACGCATCAGGTTATCCGATTGCAGGTGCCGATCGGACACCGACTTACAGCTCCTACCAAGGCACTGAAGACTATTCTGAACGAGCGCGGGATCGTTTCCCTGTCAGTGATACTGGGTCTTACGGTTCAGTCAATCAACAGGCTAAGAACTCTGGTAGCTTCCCTGTTCCCAGACAATCAGGTTACTCTGGCGGATACCACCGTGGCGGTCCACCTAGCTATCCTACTGGCGGGCAGCAAAGCTACCCTGTTCCCACAGGCAATTATTCATCGGAATCGCAAGCCGCTTATTCTGGTAGTTACACAGGGGCCGAAGGCTATTCAAACTCTGGTGTACCCGAAGGTGTCCGCGGTGCCCGTTCCACCGGTCATTCAGCAGGAGGGTCGCAGGGAGTAAGTTCTCGTGGCTACCCATCATCTGATACTGAGAAACCACCAATTGATGCCCAACATAATGAACGTGCACCAGATGCTGGTAGCCTGTACGCATCTGGTTCGGCTCGGTATGGTGAAACTCAGGCTACCCAACCGTCTGCTGGTGGACCTAAGCAATCTCGTTTCGACTCCAAACCCGCTCCTGCCGGGCCACAAGGCTATTCCAGTTATCCCCCCGGAAGCTACTCTGGACCTTATGGGGCTACATACGGAGGCGGTACAATGAACAATCCTGGCGGAGGAACCCAACCAACTGCTCCCAATTCCGCGAACCTCAGAAATGCGCGCAGTCGCTTCGATCTTGGACCCAGCGCAAATCAAGCTACTTCTGCTTCAGCTGCGGGACCCCAAGACACACAATCCCAGTCGTCTGGGCAGTCCCAACAACCACCGTCCCAGCCATCCGTAAGTTTTCCGTTAACTCTTAAGTCACCGATCTAAGTAAAGCCAACCGTATTCAGACACCCTTCTTATCACCTGCCGCAACCGGAGATGCTGAGTCTTTTCCTGGGGGTTTATTTACTTTCATTGTTTTACGCCAGTAGGTATGAAAACCCCTACCGAATCCATGTTTCCATGGTTCCTCAGTTGCGTCAGATCGTTCTGTCTACCAGTCCTATCCGACGATCCCATTATTTCTCTGCTACTTTCCGTCACCTCACTGTTCTTTTCCACCACAGTAAAGACAAGTGTCGAAGCAGCTCCGTTGACTGCGTTACAGTGTTCAAATCACATTAACTTGCTTACTTGGATTTCCATTGTCTCTATAACCACTATCTGACCTATCCTGTGCGCACACTACACGAGGTGGGAAACGTCTCAGCTACAGTGCCGCAATACCAAAGGAAACAAGGAAATAGTGCGCACACTAGCTACTTGAGTGGATATCTACGTACTAAATTCACGGGCTTAATGCCACACTCTAAGAAGGACTATTTTGCACGACTTTTTGTTTACAAAATTTCTACTTTATTGATGATGTCACTCGTAAAAGTGCGACCTGAACGCCACCCGCAGTGGTCCAAAACTTCCGTTAACGTGGCCATTAAATTAGTTGTCTTTCGGTTCATGATCGAGAACAAATGTTCTGTTTAAATCGTTTGTAAAACTAACGAACAGACTGGAAACAATATCATAGAAGCAGTTATCTCCATCTTGTCCCGGGAACACTGTTTGAAGCTGATTAATGCTTTACCAGCGGTGTCGTTAAATTTGAGTGCAGCGCCGTTTGAATAAATTTCCCTATGATGACCTTTGACTGCTGTACACGTGGACGCCTACTCCACATTATGTGTTTGCACTCATCCTTGCCCTGATTCCGTAGCATGCTTCATTCGTTCTGTTTTGTTTTACTAGCAAACGCCTCAATCATACTACGGATACGGAACTCAAGCCGCAAAACAGCCCACAGGTGTAAGTGCACCAGCTGCCCCCAGTCAATCTTTTAGCACATACGGTTACAATTATGGATCTTACGGTGGGTCTTACGCAAATCAAACTGGCCAACCAGCAACAACTCAGGGCCGCTCATCTGCAGTTCCAAGTTCTACACCCTCTCTATACGCCTCGGCCGTCGCTGATAAACCGCCGAGCGCTGCGCATCCAACCCCTTCTGTGACGACACAACCTTCTAGTACTGCTGATAATTCGGCTGCTCTTGCTGCTGCAGCTTACACATCTTATTATGGCTATGGCTCTACCGCAGGCGCTACTGGAGTTACGGTAGACCAACAACCGAACACCGGCAAATTGGACGCCGCGATGGCCGCAGCCCAGCAGTTTAATACTTGGCAGCAGCAGCCATCTACCGGAATCTCTGCTAGCGTTCCTGCTACAACAGTTGCTCAAACAGCTGGGTCTGCCACGTCAGCCTACACTGGGTACTACGCAGGTTTTGCAGCCTACCCTACGGGATACGGTACAACTGGTGCCCCTGCACCCCCAGCGTCTCAAGTCATGCCCCCTTACTACGGCGGTTATCGCTAATCAAGTAACAGCACTACAATCTTGTCCGCATTTTTATGCCCAACTATGTCGCCTGTGTTACTTTTGCTACCTTTCGGTTGCACAAAATACAAATGTTCTTGCCGCTCGCGTTGTCCAGATTTATCAGTTCGCTTTGTTCTCACTAGGTGCCCGTGAGCCTTACTATTGACTAACTTCACACTAAATACCGAAGATAAGTAACTAGAGGAGATATCTCCGTGCTGATTCATCGATCTAATAACGGGTACGCATGCCGAATAAATACATTTATTTCCACGCACTGCCAACGCAGTCTGGCTTTGCGACTTCTTGTTTGGATGCCATGCGTTCTCGAAATATGTAGTCCGCAAAGTGTGTGCCCATAGATTTTTTGTATTCCAATATGGTTTCGTTCTGACAAGTGTAGAGGGTCAGCTATACACTTCGGGTCCGGTACTAAGAGCTTGTACTTATGCCCGCGAACTCTGCTTGATGCGCGCACCTATAGGAGTGGCGTCAGCATAGAGAACTAACTTAGGTGCGTCATTATAAGCCTCAATCAAACTCGGCAACACTATAGGGTGTACAGCCTCAGTCTTCTGCATCAAGTATGAGCGTGGTAGTGACTTGCTGAACACTTTCAGATTTTTGCACTTCACCGCAGGCCTCATGCCACATTGTTTCTGTTTTTCGATATGCACCCATTTGACTTAACCCGCAGTTATGGTGTGAAGGCGCGTATGGTTCCCAGTCTTCACTTACGTTCAATTTGCGCTTTCCACCATAACCTCATGCTGTAGAAAACATCATTGCGTATACTTAAGGGTGCTGTGAAAGTTGGCGCGTTTCTTGTGCCACTGTTCTACTTATTGTTTCATGTATCCCACTGTGCTTCACATTTGAGTGGCAACATGCCAGGACCATTATGCCACATCTGCAGTCCGCACTTTGTTATTTCTCCTCTTCTGTCTAATACTGTCTCGTGCTGGATAACCGTAGACACCTTTGGACTCGCCCTTCAATATCGCTCGCTTTCGTCCCTACCAAAATTTGTCCCCTTAGTTCCAAATATTAAACCGATTGAAACTGCGCATCATCGCACTATGCTTGACTATTGTCATCCGTTTCACTACTAAGCTTTTGCGGTCTAAGTGAACAGCTCTTTCGCTCCTACGGTAGGTCCATACCAAAACTCGTCAACTTTGTACTATCGTATCCGAACTCTTTGAGGTGGTCGTTGGTCCATCTGACATTTGCAATGCGATACGTACGCGATCTCAACTTGTCTAATCCTACGATAGAATCTTACTCTTTGCGGACAAACTTACTTGGCAGCTCTGCCTTGTTTTTGAGGAGAGCGGTACGATGGACTTATGCGCTCGTCTTTTTCCGTTATATTTCTTGAAGACCTCCGTTTCTCTTACCTGACTTCAACTCTTGTGCTAATTGCTATCACAGTCGCTGCTATCCGTTCGTGTCCTGAAGTTGGGATGATCACCCTCATGACGTAGCAAGAAGAAGTTCCTTCCACCCTGCAATCGACTGTAATGTTCTGCCAATTTCAGATGGTGGCCTTTCAATAGGTTGTTGTGACTCAGCTTCAATAGGTGATTAGTGTTATTTACTAGTTGGTACTCCATGATTAGATCTCCACGCAAACGGCGATAATGTCCACTGAAAAT